GTCAGAAAAAGGACATTTTCTTTTATTGTTGGTGGAAATATCAATTGACGTGAGCTTCGAAGGACGATTTGTAAATTGTAAAATCTGTATATGTTTGCATTTCTACTTCTAAGAAGCAATTCCTAACAATTTTATATAATGGATATATGCAACTATACTGGAACAAGGATACTATGTGCAGTATTATCTGCAATAAAAAAACATTGAAAACAGATTAACTATTCATCCATAGGGAAGTGGTTAAATAAATTAGAGCATATTAATAATATGCAATGATAAAAAAATGATAGAACAGTGTATTCTAATGAGGAAGGATAATTATAATATATTGCAGGTTATAGACAATTCAGGTTTTTTGAATTTGTAATAAAATACACATAAACCTACACACACAGAGCAAAGATCTGGAAGGATACACAATAAATATTAAGAAAAAGAGTAGTTAGTCACAGAGAGTACATGTGTAGGATCAAATATTCATTTTTTACTTTATACAGTCTTGTCATATTTACATTTCTTTCAAATTGGGCAATTTGTGCAATTAGAAATATAAGAACACAACACATAATAATAAATATACATAGAAATGGCCTGTCTTTTAAAGTTTACATAAGGAATTCATTTTTGAATAGGTTTTAATAGATAGTTCCTGGTGAAAGGGAATTAAGAGAGATTAGACATAGAAAGAACCATTAGAGGAGGCCACCATAAAAGACTGAGTGGAGTTCTGGACAGACCCAAAAAGAACTGGGTGACAGTAGCAATATAGCAACACTCAATTATAAGAGTTTTGATGAGAGAGATTAGACATAGAAAGAACCATTAGAGGAGGCCACCATAAAAGACTGAGTGGAGTTCTGGAGAGACCCAAAAAGAACTGGGTGACAGTAGCAATATAGCAACACTCAATTATAAGAGTTTTGATTAAAATTCAAATGAAAGCTCACATTTTTAAAGAAAATGCCTTATTTGGACATAGTTTAATTAGTATTTGCTTCAATCAAGCAAATTCTATTCTTCAGTACTGAACATGTCTATGGAAACTTCAATTTCTATTTAAAAGTTAAATTATTTTTACAAATTCTTCTTTATATTTGTGTACTTGAATCTAATCGTTTGCATAGTTTTAGTTGAAAGAATTCAGCATTAAAGATTAAAAATATTGAAGAGAAAAATAAATTATGGAAATTATCTTCAGTTTGCAGCTTGCTTTAGAAAGATTTAGAAGTCTTTTTTTTTTTTTGTACAGCTCAATCTTTCAAAAGCATGGGTGGGCCTTTTCATGTATAGTCACAATCTTAATATTTTAAATGTAGAGATTCATAGATAGAATCTATAGGGTCACTGGTTCATATTTCAGAATTGTGAGAGATCCTTAATATTAACGAGTCAACACCTGAGGAAGTGCTTTCATAGGATCAATGCAGAAAATATTGCTGTTCAAATACCTAAGTAGGTAACAGTTATCAGAGTAGATTAACATTTGTTTGAAACAACATACCTTGGGGTAGAAGAAGCCATCGGTGCTGAAAAGTCACCAGTGTCGAACCTAATTCAGTTCTTACTCATTTATACTTTGTCTCAAGGACATTTTACAATATAATCTCAAAAAGAGGCACGCCCCAGGGTTCCATTCATAAAAACAAGCAAATAGCTTTTAAGACTCCTAGTCCTTACTCTATAGATGAAATGTAAGGATTCCATGCAAGAATGAAAGCAATTGGAGGTTGTTTTACAGAGATTTCTTCTCTGGAGTACAAGTCTTCCTAGATTTGTTCAGAGAAAGCTGTAAAAGCAATCATCCCTCACTTAAGGCCATAAAAAATGTTACCACTAATTATCTATTTAAATTTGAAGGTTCACTTGTGTTTTATCTTTATTCCGGAAAATAAATACTATTTATTCTATTGTTTCTATTGATTTTCTTTGCTTTCAGACATTTCACATTTATTTTGTTTTATTTTAGTTAAACCTTTTCTGGCAGAGTGTACTAGAGACTTTTAAGACATTCTATATAGTAACAGGCACGTATATTACAATCATATCTTGCTATACTTTAATGCTGTCACATATTCACCAATATTTTAAAGATCAGGATTTACACACATACGCACAAACACTCACACTGTATTTGGCCACACATACATGCCTTGCATACAATTTTTTGCTGTGGATATCATGGTTTTAAAGCTAATTTAATTTTTAATACAAAAGGTAAAATTAAGAGAGCCATAAGACTGTCTTCCAAGCTATTGTGCATTTTCCTTTTTTAATTGTTAAAGAATGGATGCTTTTTTGGAAATTTCTTTTTGTTGTGTAACACCGGCATCATTATCTTCATTTACATATTAGAAATCACTTCAGTAAGGTTCTTATCACTGTTGGTATTTTTAGTTTATGAGATGGCCTCGACTTAGATGGTATATATTGTTTTCTTGGTGTTCACAGAATTTCACTGCCATCATGGTACCTTCTGTTGTTCAAAGACGGGCAGCCAGGGAAGCCCCCATTCAAGCCATTCTCTTAGTTCTATATAACTTCTCTGGACCTAGGCAGCCCTACAATTTGTTTCCATTTCTCTGGCTCTTCTGTGCTTATAGAACTGTTGAAGTCTGTGTCTTCCCCCATCATTTTATTCTTAGGCACACTATATAATAATCCTTCCCTTTCCTGCTGTTGAGGGATACACCAGTAAACGTGCAGCCTGCAAGAAACTCCAAACATAAGTACCAATCTCTATGTTCACATTTCTCCTAAAATCAGGGGACTATGTCAATCTGTCATAAAAAGTTTGCTCATCATACTCTCCTCTTCCAGGGACACATGAAAATTTTACAGTCACATTAGCAATCTGGGATCAGGAGGATAGTTTTACTACTTCTGATACTATTTTCTACAAATCTTTTGGAGTACTCTTCCACATCTTGTTCTCGGGAGATGGGAGAGCACAACCTTTTTCTTTTTTTTGTCTCACTGGCAGGGAGAAGAAAAGCAGCTTCTAATAGAGAACACTTACTCTCCCAAAGGCCAAGGATTCCTAACTCTGAGTCACTACTGCTTGAGGTCCCCTTTCCAGTCCTCTTACTGGGCTACAGCTAGTCCCACTGTCTCTTTGTAAGATCCATGGGGAGATGTCAGGCCCAAACTGTTTGGAGGTGGCTGTTTTTTAAATGTTTGGTGTTCAATATCTCCTTGATTTTATCTTTGAACTCGATACTATTCTGAGGCAGCAGAAAAAGTTTCATTTAACATCTTGTTCTATAGGTGTGTAATAATAATATGCCAGCATTAGTACAGAAGAACAGGGAAAGCTAGAGTACGTTAGTTCACTTCAATTCAATGATTATTAAAGAAATTTATGCTATTTAAAAAGATACTATAAGAGATAAACAACATTTAGTTTTAGAGTAAAACTGAGGTGCCTTGCCCATTTCTTAAGTTGCCTGAAACTTTGGTTAACCTGGGAACGATCATCATACTGAAATTGTATGAAAGATACACTGGTTCATTAATTCCGGACTATAACTGTTTGATAGTGTTTATTTAGACTTCAAGGAAAGTTTACAACTCATTTTTAGATAATCCCATCTAAAGTCTGCATATTTTACTGTAAGATAATTAAAGTTATTTTTTTCCTTACATAAGCAACTGTAAAAAAAAAAGTTTTGGAGAACACTTTCCCTTTCTTAATTTAGAGAAATATGCTCCTATTTTTCCTGTTTTCAGTACAATTTCTAACCTGCTACTTTTAAATTAAGCTATATGAATCATTGTTCCACAGAACTTTTACTTGTACAAAACAATATCAGAGATGGTTCATTCTGTAGAAAGGGAATCAGTAAAATTAGAATAGGTAGGATGTGTCTTCACATGAAATACATCAGGGAAACCCATGAAAATATGTGAATGGGCCACCATTCAGTCTCTATTCTTACGTGTGTTGAAAATTTTGGAGATATAATAAGTTAACTCAAATTGTTTTAGCTGAAATGTAGCCAGTGGCTTTTTAAAAATATGGCTAGGTTCAGTGTGAGAATTATAAACCATTTTCTGTGATGATCAGTAAGTACAGTTTCTAAAAGCACTTGATTTCACCCACACCATTCACCATTAAAAAATAAAGCTTGATGAAAATTCTCTGCTTTGCATTTCAATTCTTTCTCCATTTAGCAGCTCCTTCGCTACCATAAAAACTCAAGAGAAAAGAGAGAGAAAACAATTCAAAAAAGCAAGCTGATGGTCAAAACGTATGGAATAAAGTTGTCCAAAATATTGTCACAACTCCTCTACAAATAATTCCTTCCATTCTAGAGTCTTGTCAGACCTCCCAGATTCACTGACAGACTATTATATTCAAAATGGCTTTGAAAACTTTCAGCATTTAAGAAAGCTCTTGAGACATATAAAAATGTCTGTATTTAGAAGGGTACATATAATACCTGCCAAATTTGTAGGTTTGAAAGCACTTCCAATAAGAATTAAAAGATCCTCTTCCTTGCTGAAATAGGAGTATCAATATCTGACTTGTCTACTCATAAGAAATAGTGGGTTTTTGTCTCTGATGCTGCAATTTAGTTTAAAATCACTTTATGATGACAGGGTACATAAAGATGATATAACTATAAAGATGACAGTCTAATCTTCAAAGATGACTGATCATCGATAAAAGATTAAAATACATAAACATCTGAAATGCCAGATTATCAGCTGTTTGGCACACTCTCAGTATTGAAGTACAACGAGATGCTACTGATAGGTGAAAGATGCTTTTTCTTCTATGTTGTGCAGAAATATATCCTCCCCCAAGAAGGGCAAATAAATTGTAATCACTTTGACTTTATAAGATATATATTTTTTCTCAATTGCGATGCAATATACGTAAAGTGTTACTAAAGAACGTACTGTAAAGTGTTCTTTCAGAATAACACCTGATTGCTAGGATTTTTAAAAAACCCTTTAATTGCTATTTTAAAAATTGTAATAATTTTATACATACGTACAAGAATGATTAGACATGCTGGTCCTATAAAACTCCAAATAAAATTGTTTTCTGTGCTAAGCCAACATCTGAAAAGGAAATAATAGATAAAAGGTATAAATATGTTAGTATATACTTTAACAAAGCAAAATGCTCAAAGATACGCAACGTGTATTCAGAATTGCATTTCAAATGCTCGTGAAATCATCTTAACTTACACTTTGGTGGTGCCATAATATCTGTATCCTAATGCTGCTGAAAATCCAACTACCACAGCTGGGCTGAGATAGCCAAAGATATAAAAATTCTTGTGCAGAAATCCTTTGTTGTAGATGACTCCCACAACAATGAGATAGAGGTGTATGCCTTCAATGCACATCCATGCAAAGGCAGCTAGAAAGAAGTAATGTAGCAGCCCAGCAATGATCGAGCAGAAGAGCTAGAAATCAAAGAAAGATACCCTAAGCAATGTTTGCTTTTAAATTATCATGACACAAAATCTCTCCTTTCTACATAAATTATGCTACCTTATATAATGATTGATCCCATTAAAATATCTGTCATATCAGATTTTTAAGATGTACTACTTCTATCTGATTTAAAAGAACTTTGCTTCATCAATGTGAAGCATCAAACAATCCTGTGAGAGAATTAATTTACTATTATTGTCCAGAGATTTATAATTTTTATAGTTATGTGATAAATTGTGCATTTTTCACATGTAAACCATGGTATGTTGGTGAATATATTATGATTAAGTTAGTCTCTGTTTTGAAGATGCCTCTCTTCTTTATTTTATTCACACTTAAAAGAAAAAATAGTGATAATATCATGCTAAACAAAATAAATATCCTGATTCAGTGACAAATCGAAATTACAAAACAGACAAATGATATTATTATTATTTTTCCTTTTTGTCTTTTTTTTGTGTGTGTCCGGCAACGGATCGCAACCCTCAGTGTCGCGCCCGTACCGGACCGGGACCAGCAACGGGATCGCAAACCTCGGTGCTGCACCCGCACCTCGCTCAGCCAGTGAGCGGGAACCGGTCTGTATGTGGGATCCGAACCCTCGGCGGGAGCGCCGCCGCGCTCCCAAGCGGCGCACTGTAGCAGTGCGCCACCGGGCCGGCCCGACAAATGATATTATTATTATTTTTCCTTTTTGTCTTTTTTTTGTGTGTGTCCGGCAACGGATCGCAACCCTCAGTGTCGCGCCCGTACCGGACCGGGACCACCAACGGGATCGCAAACCTCGGTGCTGCACCCGCACCTCGCTCAGCCAGTGAGCGGGAACCGGTCTGTATGTGGGATCCGAACCCTCGG